TGAACTGCGGCAACTGGAGCCCAAGGGCCTAAGGCTTAAGCATAAACAGGGTCAGCCTGCAAGGGCCAGGCTTGTGGAATAAAGGGGGAGCTCAAGCAGAATCCTGAAAGAGTTTCATGGCAGTGGTTGCTACTTTAAAGAGCGGTTTCAAATGTGGCGCCGGGAAAAGGTTGGCTCGAAGGGAAGCTGGATTCGTGTTGTATGTCAAATGGGCACATGCGAACTGAGTTCGAGGACGCCTACATGCTGACACTCGCACGGCCAAGCCCGGTCTATCCCGACTCAGCTAGCAACCTCAGACTTATCAATGCTCAGAAATTGACTGTGTTTCTGCAGTCTAAGGTTCTGACGGACTGCGGATGGCCCGTTTTTGAAGCGGTTCAAGCAAGTCAACCTCGGTGCAAACCCAGATCCCGGCAAGAATTGGTCCGTATTGTGAGATGGGTGCCAAAGTTTGCCGGCATTTGTGGCAGTCCTTATCTGAGTTACATACGACATACTGCATGCGTAAACGTAGGGGGTACGGTCCTGCATCTGAGTCTTTACCTTTATGAAAAGTATGGGGTGAAGATCTAAGTGTTTGTAATTCTAGACGACACCAGGTGTAATCATTAGCCAGAGCTTTCTCCGCATGATGCAGAGCATGCGAGCGAGACTGCATTACAGCGCAATCCTGCAGCTACTTACGATAGCACATGGTCGGCCGACCTGCGTCCATCACACATACTCACCCTGAGAGATGCAATAGGTTACGCATGTTACGCATTGTTATGCTGTCACAGTATCTTGCCCACTACATCCAAACAACATCGTAAGCTAACGCAGACTAGGAGATTGCTTTATTAGTTGGTGCTGAATTGTAGCACTACCGCCCGGCCCTAGTCGTGCATGTTCGTACCTCGTGCTCAACAACGACATGCTACACTGTATCCTGATACTTACAAGGCTGACGGTTCAAGGGCTAGGCTTCCCACAGCTGCTGCCTGCATGCAGCAAGATCCGTTGGGACCTGTCCAGCCTGAACTGCTTCTGCAGTTTTTCTGTCCTTTCATTCCATGATTATGTATTGCATGCCAAACTCTAAACTCTGGAAGACTGAGTCTTGGCCTTTGCTGCCAGAAGTGAACAATCTTTTCATCGTGTTGAGACCCGCCACATCGCCATTAACACTATGGTGCAGTCGCAAGCACAGAACAAGAACGGCGATGGCCATCCCAACCCTCACGAAACGATGCAAAGTTGACACCATGTGGAGCCCTGGCCCCAGGTCTGCCACTCGGACGAAGCACCCAAACCCAAAACATTTGACCCGCCTGCAGCTTGGTGACCACGGTGTGGCTGGCAAAATACAAGACCACCTGTGCCAGCCGAAGACGCATCAGCAGGCCCGATGCTCCAAGGTCAAGGCTCTGCTGGTACAAGGATTGAGCTTGCAGTTCAGAACATATCTCTAGGTGCACCAGTTTCAATCGACCATGGCTGTCTTTCTCGCAGCTGCCGACTTGACTTGAACCCAACTCAACGCCCAGGCAAATCGGCCTCTTCCGCGGAGTTAGTCAGGAGAGGTTCCCTGATTTTCGGCAAATCATCGCGACTTTAACAAGTGGTTGCGGTCAAACATCATCGAGTGCCAAGACGAGGCAGTCAATCGAAACGATCTCGCGGAAAGTGCGAAGCTCACGTTAAATCTTCCGTCATCCAGCGAAACCATCAGAAACCTTCATCTGCTTGCACGAGTAGTAGCCAAAGCAACAGGTGGCTAGGTCTCGAGGATGCCATGCGGCTCTCCTAGAAGTCGTTGATTCAAGCACCCCCCAGGTATATAGGGCAGTATGTAAGTATGCGTGCAAGTACCTAAGTAGGCATGCAGATCATCCCTGTACCAATCCGCAGTATCTAACTCCACCCATAGCTTTCTTCTAGCAGCTTCTTTCAATTTGCACACAATTGCGGTTGTGATCTTCTGTTTCACATACATCAATTGCCATGTACTCCCTTACTCCCTGTGTGTGCATAGACATCAACCCGCCTTGTGAACACGCCGACGACGAAGCTTTTTGTACAAACAACCAATGTCTGGGAACAACAAACGACATGCGCAACAAGCAGCTCGACTTGTTCAACCAAGCAAGTTTGGTTGCTATTATTTTTTGTTGCTGATGATTTACGTCCATGTTTGATCCACCCTTTCGACTTCTGATGTAGCCTGTAAGGTGCAAATTGCCAACGCTGCAACGTTTGATCATTAGATCCTCTAACCGCTCTCTAGCCATTAAGCCATTCAAGCAACAAACCATTGAGCCAATCCGTTTGAGAGAATTAAGGGCTTGGTTCCTGGCGGAGCCTTAAAGCGAACAAAACGGACTGATGGGTTAACGGTTAATATCGACTGGCACCGAACTTTCTACGCAGTCCAGGACTCGCAGCAACAGTGGAATTCAACAGCAGCACACGTAGGAACAGGAACCATTTCAACTGTGGCAAGCTTGTCGCGATCATCATCTTTAGTCGTACTTTCTTACAGTTGCTGGTGCACACAGCGCCCGCAGAAGTTCAGATTTTGCACCGCTTCAATAATCTATTGACTTTCGCTCTATCCTGCATCCAATAGATCGGAGACATGTTTAGACTTAAGCCCATCTCGACTGACTTGTGACACTTAGCTCTTCGTGGCGGTGTCCGGTTGCGACTTCGAGTTTACAGGAGTTCTGCAGACTTGCACAAGCTGAGATGCCGGCACGACTAACCATGCCTGCCACATGCGAGACTTCACACTCGTTTCAACAAATGTGTTCGTGCCAGAAACTGCATGGCCTTGAGAGTGAGGCTGCGGCAACAACTTTCCACAAGATCTCGACTGGATAACATCTTGCAAGAAATCCAAACTCCTGAAACACGACGGACCAGTGCCAAAATATGTGATATGTTGCAACAGGATGCAACAGGAACCATGCCTTAAGCCATGATAGTTGATCTGGAAACGAAACTCATCAGCGACGAGGTCAACAGCTAATTTCCAGGTGTCGGTGAAATCGCATCATGTCATTATCTATCATTACGTGCCTGAAAGGGGCCGAAGCACTCCGAACATGTCTTTGGAACATCGGTCATGCATCACCCACAACAGTCAGCATGAGGATCTTGAAGATCGTCGAAAAGTGCACTACGAGGTTCTGTGGCTGGCCGGCCAAACTGACGGCAAGTTTGAAGATATTGATCGGTGTGCTTAAAGTGGTCGTCTTAAGCTGATGCTACAATCGCGTTCGACCACCTGTTGCTAATGCACAAATATGATTGCAAGTAGCATCAAACCCTCCGCGGACATGATGGCTTGAACAATTCGTTAACACAGAGACTTGATGCTGTCTAATACGCTGTCCATCCTCAAAAAGCTGCCGACCTGAGGAGTTTGCTGGAACTTCTGCAGCCTTCAGGCGCGGCAGAAGCGCAGGGTGTCTCTGAATTTACGAATGTCTGATTGCGACGTGTCTGCACGAAACAGATCTGGAAGGATCGCTGCATGCAAACACACGGCACAGGGTTCTGGCTCATGTTCTGCACGATTGTTCACGCAAGGCTTCGGATGCCTGCATGTGCTACCAGCCGACAGGCACGATGCTGCAAGATAGAGTCCCGCAGGAGGGATTACAACGATGAAAAGTCCTTAGCACAAGGCTCTCCTCTGCAGGAGATGTTGCTGAGGCACAGACCAGTCGCTGTGCTCCTGCGTCTTGGAAAAGTCATGGTGCAAGCCGCGGATATGCCTTCAGCCGTCACAAGCAGAAGTCGCACAGTCAACAATGTAACACGACGGTCAATGGCCTGCGGTTCGGTCGAATTACGTCGTCAGCAACACAGTGACGATTCTAGAGTCTTCGTGTGCTGAGGATGTCGGACGAAGTTCCGTGGCATCAGCTGAACGTCAACTGGCCATCGAGAATGAATTGGGTGAGACTGTTTGCACGACCAACCTGCCGGTGTTTTTTTTTGGTGCTTCTGCTACCTAGCAGTGCATCAGCACACCAAGCCCTCCCCCCATGTGACCATTCATAAACCATCAGCTCGTCATCTGTATCAACTGATCACGCCCCGAAGACTCGAAGTTCGACTCGCAGCATGCAAGAGTAGTTCTACATCTACGGCTGAGAGTAAAGTGATAAAGGATCACTGATATGTCGCGGTTTAGCAAACTCTGCCCCGGCGTGGATGAGTGTTGTCTTGCTGCAGCTTCGCCACCCAATGACCTGCTGCACTTCTCCCATGGCACAGAGGGTCGTCGAATTCGGACGTGAGCTTTAGCAGTGATTCCATATTGCTTGTGTCACACACACACACACCGCTGACAAGAGCATGGCTACTCCCTGCAAAATGCAGACAGATTCACCCGATGCAAAGTCATCAACGCTGGTGACCCGTGTGCTTAGCATACGGTTTGGGTGATCTGCCGCGGCGTCAGCGCCGCGCTATGCCAAGGCCACATGCCACACCAGTCGTTATGCAGATTGTGCGTGCAGTAGAGTCTAGAAGCTCACAGGAAGTCATGGAGCGGCCTTGTTGCAATGCGTTGCAATGCTGTCCTTGCTATGTGGCCGTGCTGTGCTTTTGAGAACAAGTGCGGCAAGTAAGCAACACAAGCAGTCTTCTCCTCGCTTGCAACGGGTCCGATGCACCTTGACCAAGCAAGTTCACGACGAATCAAGGTTGTTGGGGAAAGACAGATGAATTCTTACAGCCCCAATGCTCGTCCCAGCTTACTCTACATTTCTCGATGCCGTGCCGGACGATGGCAGCGAGGTCAGAAAATGTCGGAGGATGCAGGGCTCAGCAAGCAGTGATTCCAACCGAAGCCAGCCTTTTCGCACTGACTCATTCAGGTGCGAAGCCGCCACCAAAGCCACATTGGGCCGAGGTATAGCCAATGCCTGCAAACCGGTACTGGAACTGCAAGCAAGACTGCAACTCAAGCCCTTCATTTCCGATTTACGTTTCCTGCTTGCTGGCTAATATGGACGACCTTGTCCCAATGTTTCGCATCCACCACCAGAGCTGCTGCATACCATTACTGTGACAAGCGCCCAGCTTTTGAGCGCGTGCTCCGAAAGTGTGTACCTTCCGCACCACAGCCTGTCAAACTTCAGGCTCAAACGACGACAGGAACAGCAACGACAAAAACGCATTACATCATGGTCGCACTTACCGTGTCCATGACATACGACCTTTACCCGAAGTTCCCCCGACCAGGTTACCGTCGATTTCGATTCCTTCTATTGCAGCTCCTATGTTCACTTCAGCCTGAGCTAAGACTAGGGCATGATTTCATGGCACAACAAATGTACTCAAAGCATGTTCAACCATTACGGAGGCAGACATTCGGAATTGATTGAAGGCGAAGCTGTTCACTCTTCGGCAGCGTCTGACATGCTCCAGTTTGTTTTTCGTGGCGGAAAATGGCCAATCACCGATGGAACGTAAAACTGAACACCCTCTAGTCCATGCTGTGATCACCGTCACGGAGATTTGCAAGACTATTTCTTCAACTGCCGAGACAGTCTAGCGGCTAGTGACTAGTGACGTGACATATTAGCATGTATGCAACGGCGACAAGTGCCTCCGGAATCGTGCATGTCCTTGGCCTCGACTGGAAAGCAGAGGTGGGTCCTGCCTCAGACCCACTGGCAGCTGAGAGTTCTATGCCGCCGAGGAGAACACTTGCAACTGCTCGGTCGGACGATCACAGCGGAGTGGGCGACCGTAAAGAACAACTGCCTTTCAGAGTTCCCTCCCAGAATGGACTCTTGCGCATGTGATTGCCGTTTCTTCCTACGTCGCACAGTCGTATGTAAGCAGTTCAACTCCATCCATACAGAGCGAGGTAGCATAGCTCCTTTGCGGACAAGGGTGTTCCATGAAACAGCCCGAAATCAACAGGATGCACTGCACCCTGCTCCGTGCCCCAGAACCATACCAGGGCCCGACCATGTGCGGTTGAAGTTGGTCGCTTGGCCCTCCAACATCACGTCCAAGTCATACTGGCAAGGCCGGCAAGGCTCTAAGACTCCAAAAGGCTTGCGATGGCTTGCGTATTTGAGAGTCAAGCGTTTCATGCAGAGCTGTGGCTTGGGATCGGAGCTGAAGTCTGAACCACTGGCCCATGGGCAGACCGGTATCCAATGCGTGCAGGCTGGGTTGTGCAGACTGTGCACAAGATATTGCAAGGTTGTAGAAGCAAAAGGTCGGCAGATGCACAGGTCCGGAACATCAACCTGATCTCTAGGAACTCGGACGAGCAAGACTTCAAAACTGCAATCCCAATCAGTATTGTGAGAATGTTAATCGGGAATCTTAAAACTCGTCCCCAGTCCTGTTAGCTCCAAAGACTTCTCAACCCAAACTGCTGATGCATCTCTACAGCCGAAGCTTTGGACACAGCAGCTCTGGCAGCGCTGGAGTGTTCTTGTAGCACGACAGCCCTGTCCAATTACTTCCTGGGGCAACCCTCAACACACCCGAAAGAACCAGCATCATATGGAAATCCTACAAACATTGCACAATGCACAAACACCACACGAAGCCTGAACCCAACGGCCACAGCTGCTCGAACGTCATCACTTCCAAGCCAGCCTTTCACATCCTGGAATGACCCAAAATTACGAAACAGTGCTAAGCAGGTTCCGGGCCTTCATTTTTTCTAAGCGTCTCGCATGTGCCACCTGGCAAGTGAAACAGCTTACGGCTTAAGGGGCCTTCAGGCTTCCCACCTCTAGGCTTCTTATATGCAACAGCTGGAACTGGACACTGAGTTTACCACAGTGGTTCAACAAACGCAAGGTTTGTCGGGCTCCAAGTTTATGTCCAAGTCCGGGAGCTGTGTGGGATGTCTTCCCGTGATGGGGCCTGTCTGAGGTGTCGTGAAGGTGCTGGCTGCAGAAACAAACAGCTTGCTATCTGCAAGCACGCAAATGGGCAACTCGGGAGGGATCACTCCGCACTCGCTTGAAGCTTACAAAACTATGCAGCCAACTGCTCGAAGAATCTTAAAGACATTGCCACAATCGACATAGAGTTCAGGCAGTTCAGGGTCTTGACACCTGCTTTGGCAAATTGTGCCTCCGCCTGCCTCTGTTTGACCAACAAGCCTTGCATGACATGCGCTCCATGACACCTAGGCACCTAGTAGCTCCTTGCGTGCAGAGGCTCGTGTCTTTACATGCTCTTTCCGCAACTCGCTCGCGAACACAACCGATGGTTCTTAAAAATCAGCCGATTGCCGCATACCTTGTGTATACTTCAACTACGCCTTAGAAAATCGATGGGCGACCAGACCAGCTCACTCGGATTGAGTCTTGGCTGGCTGTGACACAGCAGCACGATAGAGCTTGGAATCTTTCGTCACTTGACGCAAGACTTGCACAACTACCAAGACTAAACTTGTCCAACACCATGTATCCAACTGCACAAATTCATGCCAAGATTCCGCACTACTTGCATACGGCCATGAACGACTAATTACCTCAATAGAGATCTGATAGTCTGCTCCTCCTCCGTCGCCAAGACATTGGGCAGCGCACCCAACGAGACGCACAAGGATGCTAATCTGGCTGTGCATCTCGTAGGTTTGTGCCACAGGCTCCTGGGCGTCTCTCAGCTGTTGCAGTGACCGCCATATGTTCAGAAAACTTGTTATTGAGTTCTCGTGAGATCCAAAGAAATCCCCTGCAGAACTGTATAATTTGATGCCAGGCGATTACTGTCAATACTAGCTCATGCTGACTTGTGCCGCACGGGAGGCCTCGAGACTCAAAACTCGATTTTCAGAGCACCATCGCTGTTGCCGAGCTTCGCGAGTGTGCCGAGGCACAGAGCTGCCGCGACCTGTAAAGTCTTGCCGGTTTCGGCCCCAGTGTCAAAGCTCTGTCTGCCCCGCAGCCGCGAATACCCCGCACCAGTCCAAGCATGTTCCGGTGCCAGCTTACATCGAGAGTGGTTCGGCTGCCTGAATGTCGACACACTGCCTGCAGCGAGAAACGATGGCCCGACCCACAGTATGTGCTGTAATAGCAGCACGGCGAGCAGTGGAAACGATTTTCTGCGTGCCGCTCTCATGACGACATGGAACCTACTGCATTCGTCCCCTTCTTTAGCCAGATGCCGTGTCCAGAACCGCACATGTGGTAGTTATCGTGAAACCATAAACCGACATGAAGAAGCAGGGCCTTCCTGCCAGACAGTATATCTATATCTATATATATATATATATATATATGTATGTATGTATGTATGTATGTATATATATATATATGTACATGTATACGTATATATATATATATATATATATATATATACATAAACAAATAAATATGTATGTATGTATATGTGTATATATATATATATTACACATGTATATGCGCGGAAGCCAACAGTACCGTGCGCTCCTCTGCCCCGATCCTCCCCCCCCCCCGCCCGTGGAGCAGAGGCCAACCTTCCGGATGCCTCCCGGCGTCGGCAGATCAGCATCCTCAGCAGCATCAAGGTCCCAGTGACTGCATATGGTCCCACACGGCGGCTAGGAGGAGTTCCTTGCAGGTCCCAAGACAGCCCTGCGACGGAAGATGTGGAAATCACCAGAGCTTCCGAGCCTTGAGAGATTGTGAAATCCAACATGCTCGCGGCAGTCTGGTGAGAGCGCGATGGCACAGAAGGAAATACACGGGACAGTGGCGGGACACAAGTGGCAAAATGTCAGTAATTCTCGAGACCACACCTAAAAGCCTGCCCTGCCAAAATATGCCGAAGAGTGTGGCCCTGCACCGACTTCTGAGCCATCGCGCGGATTGATTCTTAAGTACGAGCGTCACTTTCAAAAAAACACATACACGCACACGCACACGCACACGCACACGCACACGCACGCACGCACGCACGCACGCACGCACGCACGCACGCACGCACGCACGCACGCACGCACGCACGCACGCACGCACGCACGCACGCACGCACGCACGCACGCACGCAAACAAACACACACACACACACACACATTTTTTCTGGCAAATGGTGGAAATTGGAAGTGCGAATGTGTTAAGGTGGACGGTAGGCCTGCACAATCTGCAAAGACTGTGGCGAGTGCGCGATCTGGTCCGAAAGCAGCACCGTTTTAATTCGAGAGCCGCAGAACCGACGGCGCATTCGTGCGGTGTCATAGTAACCTATGTATGATCGCCTGAATTACCACCGGAGGAAGTTTATGGTGTTCGCATATATCACCGCGCTGCTCCGTGGACAAATCCTAAAAAACCAAGCCCGGAAAATAATCAAGTACATGGTCCAGTACGCAGACGAGTGGCCTCGTGACCTCTGACTCGAAATGGATGCAAGGCTACCTCGCGGTGCAGCTTCGTTTGGCATTTGTGCGGAAGCTATAATAGGCTTCTCATGAATGACATGCAGACCACTCACATCACGACACGCGATTGCGCTAATTGTAGCGTACAACCTTCTTCGCTGCAGAACGGAGAGCTGCAGCCAAAACGGGTCCTGAGAGTAACCAGGAGAGGACCAAAAGACTCCCAAGACATTAACAGGAGACCTCCCCAAAGTTTTGGAAGCTTCACGAGCCGGGTTGAATGCTGTTAGCCCAGTGCTTGTGGGATTCAAGAGTAGCGGTAGGCGGTAGCAGTAGCAGTAGCAGTTGCAGCAGTAGTAGTAGTAGTAGTAGTAGTAGTAGCAGTAGCAGTTGCAGCAGTAGTAGTAGTAGTAGTAGTAGTAGTAGTAGTAGTAATAGTAGCAGCAGTAGTAGTACTAGTAGTAGTAGTAGTAGTAGTAGTAGTAGTAGTAGTAGTAGTAGTAGTGGTAGTAGCAGCAGCAGTAGTGGTAGTAGTAGTGGTCGTACTAACAATAGTAGTCGTAGTAGAAGGGGTCGTCGTCGTCCTCCTCGTCGTCGTAGTAGTCGTGATGGCAGTCGCAATAGTAGGAGGCCTTTTTTTGAAGCAGCCGTACTGGT